CTCAGTGGGTTTTCAAAGAAACAAACATGGTACCATTAGGCAAAGTGGAAGCCAAGAAGACAGACTTATCACTCTAACCAAGAAACTTTTGGGGCTGGAGAGATGGCTCAGTGGTTAAGAACACTGCTTGCTCTTCCAAAGGTCCTGAGTTCAATTCCCAGCAACCACATGGTGGCTCACAACCATCTGTAATGAGATCTGGTGCCCTCTTCTGGCCTGCAGGCAGAGCTCTGAGAACACTGTATACATAATAAATAAAACTTAAAAAGAAACTTTTGCTTTTATGTGCTATATATGCTGTGGAATAATCCTTCTGTACACTGTCAAAATGTGTTGTTCTCATTGTTAAATTAGATTTGGGGGGCAGAGAGAATACTGGCAAGAAGGGTGGACTCAGAGGAGTCGCCAGAAACAGAGGAAACAGGAGGTGCAAGATGAAAGAGAGGTAACACCACACACATAGCAGAATGTAGTGAATAGAGAAATGGGTTAATTTAAGTTGTAAGAGATAGTAATAAGCCTGAGCTATCGTTCAAGCATTTGTAATTAATAATAAGACTCGATCTGGTTATTTGGGCGTGACTGCTGTGACACAGGGAAACTCCACCTCCAGTTACACATTGGAGATGCGCTTCAGAACATTTTTTTATAGAGTTCCAGTTCATTTATTTTTCTTTTTTGAGACAGGGTTTCTCTGAGTATTCCTGACTACCCTGGAACTTGCTATGTATATCAGGCTGACCTCAAACTCAGAGATCTGCCTGTCTCAGTCTCCCAAGTGCTGGGATTAAAGGTGTGCACCACCATAGCCTGGCTAAGAGTTTTGATTCTTAAAGTGGAGAAGGGAGGTGACAGTCCTCCTATGGATGATGAGGAATTGCTACTTAGCAATATGTATCATGGTGCAAGGCACCAGATAAAACCGAAGCTTATGCAGTCAGCAGTCAGTCACAGACTTGTTCACCCAGTGAATGTCTGTGCATCTGGTACTTGCCAGGATGCTGAGAGTAAAGAAAACAGATTTCTGTCTTCCTTTCTCCAGATCTGGACTCTGTCATTCTTCAATTACACTGTACTTAAAGAGCCACATCATGTGAATGGCAGCAAGTGCCCATCCTCCTTCTGCCTAAGGATGCTGACCTTGGGCACAGACATCACCCTAAGGTAAGTGAATCCTAACTCCCTTTGCTGTAGTGGAAGTGAATCCGGTTAAGGAAAAGGTACAGCATAGTGGCTTTATCCACATGGTCTCTAAACTCAGGCCTTTCACTTTGTCCCTTGACCTAAGTATAGCACCCCCTACTGTTTTTATTATTAGCCCCAATAGTTCTTTCTGGGCTCACATCTTATTTGACCTTCAGAAATGCAGTAATCCCCCTCTTTGTCCATCAGAAATGTGTTCCAGTGGGTGTCTCAAACTAGGAATGGTCCTGACACCAGCTCTGTCAAACAACAGCAGTTGATCAAATATCAAAGACATCCACAAAGCTACTTTGGGGCAATTAGTACATACAGTTTTGATATTCCGAACAGTTGGAATATGCATGGGCTACACTGGCTGGAAAGCATATGTAGAGTCACAATAGAGCAAACTCCTTGGGAACACCAAAGTATGTAGAATGAAGTCCCCAGTGAAACTAAAGAGCTAGGTGCTTTTGGCATCAAGCCAATGGAGTTACGGTCATAGGAAGGATAAATTCATAAAGAGAAGGACTGGAATTTCCCATTGGATTGAACGATCAGAAATTGCATCTAACATTTTCCTGGACACTTTCAGCAAAAGAAAGAGAGCAGAGTTGAGGGATAAGTCAGTGGTAATTCAGAGGAGTTGTATGATGCCATTCATTGAGAAGATCGAGAAGATCATTAGACAAAGAGAAAAGGAGGTAGGGAAACAGAGAGAGGGAATCTTTGAGGACCCAGACCATGGGCTGTAGGGAAGGGCAAGTCTTGAAAAGGAAGGCTAATGCCTAAAAACGAGGAGACAGCATCCTTCCTTAACCCGAAGAGAGACTTCAGTGGTGGCCTTGAGAGATGTACAGCCATGGATAAGCACACATGATGGGAATAGAAACCAGTCGTTAACACGGAAGAGTCCTAAGGTGGGCAGTTTCAGTAGGGATGGGGGAGACCATCATCAGTGAGAAGCCGTGTGCGAGAGATGCTGTGAAATAATTCTAGAAGAAAGAAAAACAAGAAGACCTTTATATTTTCTACTTAATTAAACCGGAATTTCTTGTCCTCAGGCCTCTGTTGACGTTAGCCATATTCTATTACACTCTTGACTGTTGCTTACCAGTTATTATGCCTAGGCAACAACCTTTCATTTTTCACTCTTAATTTATTCCTTTGACATAGGATGTCTTTCCAATATATAACATAAATTTAGTGAGTGAATTGTCTCCTCAAAATTCAGATCTTGTTAGAACCTCGGTTAGATCCATACTGGGAAATAGTATGCCACTGCAATTCAGCTAAGAGATTATCCTAAGTTTGGGTGACTTTGACCTATGACACCAACTGACCTTACAAGAATGGGAGGGAAGACATGGAGACAATGTCAGTCCATGTGAAGACGTGGAGCTATGGAACCCACAAGACAAGGAATGCCAAGAAGCACCAAACCTAAAAGACACAAGGAAGGAGTCTCTATTCTTCAGAGGGGTATAGGAACTGAGCTCAGTATCTCACACACCCCAGGCAATCAGCAATCCTCTCTACCACTGAGCTACACTCCAGACCCTCACTTAACATCCTGATTTCTGATAATACTGCAAATCCTTATGAAATATCATTAAACTCAATTTTCCTGCCTCTCCCCTGATTATTTGGGATGTAGGGACGTAAACAGCTAATCAGTCCTTTATGCTAACTTCCCGGTTATAAGCAGATCTCTTTCCTTCAAGCACAGTAAATTCTTCAAGAGGACACCCACATTAGATCACCTCACAAAATATTGTTTACTTCACGTTTGGGGGATGAGTGACTGGTCACAGTCCCAACCTTTGGGGTCATGTATTTTGGTCACAGTTCCAGCCTTTGGGGTCATGTATTTTGGTCACAGTCCCAGCCCTTGGGGTCATGCATTTAGGTTTCAGGCAAAGACACTAATCCTTGGGTTGTGTCTTCGAAACATTCATCAACATATCTGAGCACTAAATAGCAAACCATTTAACCTGTAAGGGAAGAACTGCTCACAGGGCTAATATCATCCTTAACAAGACCTAATAAACTAAATGGAAGACATTTCTTTGTTTAAAGACAAAAGGCCCAAATTATGTGCTGGTGAGTCTAAGACCCCCACCTCCATCATCAGTAGGGCCTCACAAACCTCATCTCTACAGAGGATAACACAGTGGTCCCTCTAAATCAGCTTCGAGTCCAGGAAGGGAACAGCAATCTTTGTGGTCACTCGCCTTCCCTGCCAAAAAGACCGTCAATTTGTCCTAATTCCGGCAGTGCTGACCTCCAGAAAAATACATTAGTGTCTTTGTTCATCGCACTCAAGATGGACAATATGGGGAAGGCCACATAGTACTTTGTTCCATCAATGAAACTGCTAAGATACTACAAGCTTAAAAGTTGAATGCTCTGATATCAGCTCATCTACACCCTGTAATATTATTCAGAGACCTCATCACCCAGTCCTGCCTTGGGATGCCAGCCAGATACCTGCCAAGCGACAACAGCCAAGGCCTCCTCCACCACACACCTCAACACCATGTCCTCCTAAGTGTGCTAGCGTGGGTACAGACTTTCCCCTGCTCTGGAGCTCCTTCGCTCATTTCTCATCACTCCCGTCGACACTGCTGCACCCCATTGCACCCCATTGCACCCCACTGCGTTTAGTAGAATGCCTCTTGAGCTGCTGGACAAATGAAAAAGGCAGGCTTCTGAAGAGCCAATATTAGAAGCTCAAGGTGTGTTAAATACCAGGTGTTAATTGCAAAGACAACAAGCGTGCTCAAAGGGAGGGAAAGAAAACCGAAGGGTCTGAGGGCAAAATTAAACAGAATAAGCATTTGCAAACTTCGGAGCAATAAAACTGTCAAGAGAGCTTTCAAATTCTATTACCAGGAGTGCTAATTAAACCTATTTTTCCTAAATCACCACTGCTAGAGAACAGCATTTCTCCGCCACGGTTTGCCTCTGCGCTGCAGGCCCAACCTACCCAAGGTCTCCCTGCACAGTCTGAATGCTCTTGGCTTGTAGGTTAAATTGGTTCCCTGGGCTAATCCAAATTCTAGTTATAAACATTTACATCCCCTAACCCAGGCTGACTTACAGACTAAAGGGAAGAGTCCACAACCCGGCGCCTCGCTTGTAATTTCAAAGGTTCAGGATAATACTTCATCTTGGGTTTTCAAAACACGTGAAAACATTTTACTTAAAGCCCAAAGAAGCTTTACTGAAGTGAATGTCACTGCGTATGTTGCTAGGCTGGAATTCACACTCCAGGCTTATGCTGGGCCCTGATGATGGTTTCAGTTTGTTAGACTTTTGAACTTTTGAAACTTTAAACAATGGCTTTACCTTTCTATGACAAACAGTAGTACCAGGAGTTTTCGCTCAGGGGCAGGAGGAATCAGCCGTTTTTAATTTTATAATCACGTAGTTAGTTAAAATAGGCTGTAAACCACATTCCACTCTTCTCAAAGGCACCTCTAACTGGTGACTTGAAATATTTCTAACTGCAAATTGCAGCATCGTGTTTTCTAATTAAAACCTTTAAGACGGTAAGTTTAAGTAAATAGAAAAAAAAATCTGCGATGCGATATTCTTCAGAAATTCATTAAAAATCGGGCTTCAAAACTTGTTACAAGTAGAAGGTGAACTGCAACTTCCAGGTTTGCAACCACCCCCCCCCACCCCCCACACACACACACCAGGAGGCCTGGAGGCTGAAAGTCAGCTGGGTTTCTGTGTCAGGGAGGAGGCAGGAGGACATGGTGGCTGCGAAGTACAGGGGGCAAGGGAATATTGGGGGGCTCGCCACTCACCCGCTGGGAGCTCTGGCTGGATGCGCCACCACCGCAGGGTTTTCTGGCCCAGCACCACATCACAGCTTTCCCTCTGGATCTCGAAGATGCCCCGAAGCAGAACCCGCTCAGACACCGCCTCTGGGAGCTGCGGGGACGCGAAGGGAGTCTTCTCCTCCAGGGCGCCCACCCGGCTCCCGCGCTTCCCCCGGAACATAGCGCTGGGGACCTGGGGACGTGGGGCGAAGCTGGGGACCCCAGGAAGCCTTTTGGGAAGAAGAGTGTCCACAGCGTCTGTCTGGGCCGCGTCCCGTGCTGCCCGGGCAACCGTGCAGGGAGCACGCAGGGAGGCGGGGCGGGAGGGCGGGGCCGCTGGAGTTTCCCCGTGCTCTGGGCCTCCAGTGTGCTCCCTAGGCCATAGTTGCCCAGTAGGAGTTCCTAGGCTGTGAGCATTCTCCAAATTGGCTTGGTAGGCATTGCCTGGCCTGGTCCTTGTTAAATAGAGTGCAGGTTCCAAACTGGCTTGGTAGGCATCACCTGGTTCTTTCTTAAATAGAGGGCAAGTTCTTAGGCCTAGTTTAGTACTAGCGCTCAGGAGGCAGAGGCAGGCCGACTTCTGAGTTTCAGGCTTGCCGGTTACATAGTAAAACTGTCAAAAGAAGAAAAAAGGGAGGAAAGGAAGGAGAGAGAGAGAAAGAGAGGAAAAAGAAAAAGAAAGAAAATCTGTATCTCTAAGAATCTACTTATTGGGTATTGAAGAACTAGCTGGCCACGAGACACAAGAGTTTCAGTGTGGCAGGCTCGGTCCACCTTACCAGGGTTCTCCTCGGAGATTCGCCCAGGAGCTACGTTGCCTCTATGACTATGTCTGTGTCTCTGCCTAGGAGTATCCACAAACTCCTGATTTGCTCAGACAAACGTGCATCTTACAAAGTTACTATTAAGAGCAAGCACACCCCTGGTGTAGTGTAGCTATTCAGAGCCTTTCCCCAGATGCCCCCTCTTCAGCCTTGGCTGTGCCTGCATCTGACACTGCTTTTGCTGTCTTTGAGAAACCGCAAAGAGCAGGGCGTGTTCAGTGAAACACGGCCACTGTTCAGCAGTGAGGCCTCTGTGTTCACCTGTAGCTTCCTTCTGCCACTAGGGCCGGCTCTCCGCTGTGATTGCATATTTCAGTTACCTAGGAGTGTTTTGCTGTTTAATCCAGTTGTCTTGACAACTTTTAAAGACGCTTAAATTGCTATCTTCAGGGATGGCATCCAGATTTCACACACAGTTCCACGTGTAAATCCAGTTTTTGTTCAGGACTGAGACTCTCAACCAGAAAGTAAGAGCGGACTGGGCGCTAAAGAGGGATTTACAAGATCTTCACAGTGCTGTGGTGTAGGGGAAGTTAGGTGCCGAAGGAGGACTTAAAGCCAGGCTCTCCAGAAGATTCCATTCACCCCAAGGCAGCCAATCCGCACTCTGTTCTGGTCAGACTTGGTCAGAAGACCTAGTTGCAGGAGTGTTGGGACCATTTGGAGTCCAGCTGCTCTTCCCTGCTAGAGATCTTCACTTTCCTTCTGATCTGAGTTACTGAAAGCTGTGTCAAAGTTGTTTACCAGCTCTGCTTCACGGGCACGTGCTGTCTTGGCCTTGAGGATCAGAGGATGAGGTTTTCACCTGTTGGCCCACCTGACTGTTGGGTATATGAGCCTCCGTGGTGCTATTGAATAAAGGGCTTCTTACCAGTGACTAGAGATCCGTGTCCCTGTCTCTCTGTGTGTCTTTTGTTTGTTTCAACCTCCAGTCCCTTGTCAGACAGGCATTGTGCACTGCACAGGAGTGTTTTTCTGGTCTCAAAGCTCAAACTGTTTGCTGTTGCCAAATCTTTTCCAAACATAATCTCCAACATGCCAGGCCTGCAGGGACTTAGGTCCAAGGCACTGAAGGCAAATGCTCAGCCTTCCTGGGTAGTACGAATTCTAACTGTTCTTAATAATAAAAACCCAGAGATAGCTATAAGGGTTAAAGCTGAAGATCAGAGAAGCAGAGCAGCCAGCCACTAGAGAAGTTCTTACCTCTACAAATGCCCAGACTGAAGGGGAAATCCAGTCTCTACAAATCCTCTGACTATATCTCCACACTGCGTCTGACGGCTTGACTCCTCCTATCTTATATTCCTTTCTCTGCCTAGCCTTATCACTTTCTGTGTCTACCTCTCCCAAGCTGGGATTGAGGTGTGAGCCACCACCACCTGACTCTGTTTCTCTTTGAGTCTGGATCAATCTAGTGTAGCCCAGCTTCTTATACCTTCATAGGGATATCCTTCTTTAGGTTGGCAAGGTTTTCTTTTGTGATTTTTTTGTTGAATATATTTTCTGTGCCTTTGATCTGGAGTTCTTCTACTATCCCTATTATTCATAGATTTGGTCTTTCTATTGTGTCCCAGATTTCCTGGATGTTAAGAATTTGTTTGATTTTATGTTTTCTTTGACTGATAAATCTATTTCCTCTATGGTATCGTCAACACCTGAGATTCTCTCTTGCATCTCTTGTATGTTGGTCATGCTTGCCTCCGCAGTTCCTATTCATTTACCCAGATTTCCCATATCCAGAATTCCCTCTGCTTGTGTTTTCTTTATTGCCTCTATATCAGTTCTCAAGTCTTGAACTGTTTGAAATCTTTGCTTTACCGGTTTGATTGTCTTTTCTTAGTTTTATTTGATTTCTTCCACGTTTTGTTTGTCTTTTCCTCCATTTCTTTAAGGGAATTTTTCATTTCTTCTTTAAAGGTCTTCATCATCCTCATAAAGTTGCATTTAAAATCATCTTCCTCTGTTTCTTCTGGGTTAGGATGACCAAGTCTTCCTGTTGTGTGACCCCTGGGTTCTGGTGTTGCCATCTTGCTTTTTAGGTTGTTGAATGAATTTTGCATTGGCACCTACCCACCTCTTTTTCCACTGGTGCCGGCAGTGTCTTTGCCTCTTGGTCCAATCCTTGCAATGGCTGGCTGTGACTTTGGGAACTGTTCTTGGTCTGCTCTGTACTGTTGCTGTCTGTGTCTCTGGGAGCCACTGAGGTCTCTCTTGGCCCGCTCCTTGATCCACTCTGTGCAGTCACAGCCTGTGCTTCAGAGTTTCTCTCTTGGTCCCTTCTGTGCAATTACAGCCTATGCTTCAGGGTTCCTCTGAGGTCACAGGGGATAGGAGGGTTCGGGGGTGGAGTGGAACTGGTAGCTTACAGAGTCCTATCAATGGGATGGGGGTATTGGAGCAGGCTACCTCCACCCTTTCCTTTTTATCCTTTGTCTCATGCCTCCCTCTCAACTCACTACAAATCCTGTGCACTTCACCCTTCTGACTCACACCTGTCCTCTGACCTCCTGTGTGTGCACTAACATGCACAGAGACAAAAGCCACATAAATGGGATATGATGGGACCTACCTGTAACTCCAGGTCTCAAGCAAGGAAGTGGAGGAAGGGGAGTCAAAAGTCAGGATTTTCTTTGACCATATAATGAGGTCAAGATCAGCATGGGTACATGAAGATCTGTCTAAATCCAAAAGAAAATTGAGGTGTCAGTGAACCTCCCATTTTTCTTGGGGAGTACTTATTTTATGACCCTTCCAGCTCCTAGAGCTGTGCTGTGCTTCTGGGCTCTGCCCTTTCTTTCATCTTCCAAACCAGTAGTTGCACAATCTTTCTGTTTCCATTCATGGATCTCTTTCCTTTGCCTGACTTTGAGCCTACTCTGGCCCTCTTAAAAGAAAGGGTGTGATCCCATGAGAATCGCCTAGGTAATCCTTAGCTCAATGACATCCACAAAGTCACTTTTGATGTGTGAAACAATGTATTCAGCAGGCTCTGGCGATTGAGATCCACAAGGCTGTAGGCTGTTGTTAATCTACCTTATTGTCCTCTATTTGTCTTTAAAGAAGTTACTGTTACCTGTTATACACTGTCCTATATTTACTTCTTCATGCATTGTCTAACTTCCTCACTCACTTAGTGTCAGGGCTGCAGTATAATTACTTGATAGACATCCCCTTGTTGCAGTGGGAAATGAGCTCCTTGATGGCGGAGCAACTAACTTGTCCACCACCGAGTCCCCAACGTTTAGCATAGCTCCTAGTATAAGGTGCATGCTCAGTGAATATCTGGAAGGGTTAATGAACTCCTTCAACTTTTGTAACAAGGAGTCTAAAGTATCAAAAACTTGTTCTCTTAGTTCCTAAAGATGACTTGACTTTTGAAGTAGGCTAATGGTCTCTACCTTCATTCCTGAAGAAGCCAGCAACAACACCGCCTAGTTCAAAACTGTGCACAGTAGAATGGGGTGGTAATTATGCGACAGCCCCCTTAAAAAGTGTTCTGTGTAGCATAAATAGCAGAGAAGAATCCCTGGGAGACAAGACACTTGGCTTATTTGAGGGCCATGAAGGACAGAGCAGGAAAACATGACCCATGTCCCAGATTGCTTTCCATTGCTGTGATAAAACCCGGGGCCATATTAGTTACTTTCTTATTGATGCCATAAAACACCACAACCAGAGCAGCTTACAGAAGGGTTTATGTGGGGCTTACAGATCCCAAGGGTTAGAGTCCATAACCGCAGATTAGAGGTGGAAGACGGCAGCAGCTGGAACAGCTGGGAACTCACACCTGGAGCATCACACAGGAAGCAGTGAGAACTAGAAATGAATCAGGCTTCTCAAATCTCAAAGCCTGTCCACAGGGATACACTCCTTGCTGCAAGACCACACCTCCTAAGCTTCCCCAGACAGCCACTAACCGGGGATAACAAATGGCCAAAACCTATCAGGAACACCTATTTCAAACCACTACAATGACCAAACCAACTTGGGAAGGAACAAGTTTATTTCCACTTACAGTTTAGAATCCATCATGAAGGGAACTCCAGTGGAAAACTGAGGGAGGAACCTGGAGGCAAGAATTGACGTCATGGAGGAATGCTGCTTCCTGGCCTGCTCTCCAGGCTCACATTCAGTCACCTTTCTTCTACACCCCAGGACCCAGGGATGGCATTGCCAATATTTGCCTGGGCCTTCTCACATCAAACAAGAATATACCCCTATGGACACACCCACAGGCCAATCTGATGGAAGCCATTCCTCAAGTGCCTTCCCTCACCTGACATGATTCCAACTTGTTTCAAGATGAACACACACACATGCATACACACATACACACACACGTGCATATACACATATGCATACATATAGTCACAACCACACACACAGACACACATATGTGCACACATATGGCAGACACACCCTGAACCATGCACACACAGACACATATGTGCATACATACAGACACACCCACATTCACACACACACAGACATACATATGTGCATATATGCACACACAGACATACACACATAGGCACACACACAGGGACACACATATGTGCATACACACACACACACATACACGAACCACCACAGATGGTGAAGCTGGAGGAGGTCAGCAGGAATGAGATCACAGGGGTTACATAGGTCCTGTTTCCAATGTCCACTCTTAAAAAATTATTACCCAATGAATTAAACTCACTCAATCCTTTGTCAGCAAAATTTTGAAACTCACAAATTTTGGGAGATTGAGGGACTGGCACAGAATTGACTGTTCACTGGCCAGGGTTCAGAGCCATTGCAGTTGGTCCCCACAAAAAAAAAAGCTCCTTGTCCCCTGCCCCATTGTGGTGTCTCTGTTGGCAATGGAGTCATCTGTCTCCATCTGACACTTTGGGAAGCAGTCCAGACTTATGCAGGCTGTTCCTGTGGCCTATGGCCCTGGAGTTCGCCTCGCCTCTCTTATAAACTGGGGTATTTTGTTCTCAGAACATACTTAGGGTCCTCCTGAAAATATTATTATTAAGGTTTATTTCTTGTTTTGTTTTGTGTGTTTGTGAAAGTGTGAGTCCAGGAGAGGGTGTTAGGTCCCCTTGAGCTGGAGTTGCCGGTGATTGGGAGCCACTGGGCAGAGCTGATGGGAAACAAGCTGATGTCCTCTGTAAGACAGTACGTGTTCTTAACCTCTAAGACATTGCTCCAACCCAAGAAAATACTTTATTGATATTAGAGATATTTCATGGTCTTCCAATTAGACTTCTAAGACATCTATAACCAAATCTTTCTGGATATAAACAACCAAGTGACTGTTGGATTAGCATTCTTCCTATTCAAAGCTCTGGAAACAAGTACCCCATAAATAATCATAGCAAAGAAAGAAATATGCAGGATGCTTCCTAAAAGACTTTTGAAATCAGATTTTAATGCATTAGTATATTATAAATATGAATCATAATCCCAAATGACAGAACACCAAAAGTTACCATTCCAGTGAACAACATCTGTAAGGCTAAAGATTACAAAATGGCAAACACCCAGATGAGTAATCATCAAAGAATTTTTTTAATTTAAATATTTATTTGTATGTTAAAGGGGTATTAATTTAGATAAAAATGACAGAATTTCATAGGCTACTTATAGAATAAAACAAATGATAATGACTATATATATTACAAGCATAAATATTCTGCTATAGTAAACACAATTGCTCATCCCTGCGGTAAACCAATTCCCCCTTCCTCGTCTACACTGACCGCCTGAGACACTATCAAGGATGGGGCTGTGGGACTTTCCTCTTTCCGCCTTGGCATTTCAGCTGATGTTAGGCGGCAGGTGTTGTTTGTATGACCCTAGTATTGAGATTTCCTGTGTGCAGCTCCCCTGTCACATCCAGGAGACCGGTGTCCTGGGGCTCTGGCTCTTACAATCTTCCCCTCCTCTTTTCCAAGATTTACCCTGTGCTTTAGCTGTGCAGATGGTATCACAAATGTATCAATTGGGTGCCCTCCCCATAACCAGTCATTCATTCTCTGCATTTTGACCTGTTGTGTCTTGGTAATAGTGTCTATTTCTTGCAAAAAGAGCTTTCTTTGATGAGAGGTGAGAGCTACCCTTATACATTGGTAAAAGAATGAGTTCTTAGAAAGCAGTTAGAAATTGTACTGGTTTAGGAAGCTGGCTGTAGTAGGTTCTCTTCTGGAGTCTATGACCATGCCAGACATGGGTAGTTAGCTGGGCTTACAGCAACAAGTATGAATTTGCTCCTGTTAAGCAGGTCTAAAGTATGATTAGACATCTGTTGGTTAATCCCCAGGATAAAAGTGCCCTTATTGCCCCATTAGAGACATCTTACCAGTCCAGTCATGGTTGTGACTCCTAAGCTTTACAGCCGGGCAGGATCACCAAATTCTCTCTCTCTCTCTCTCTCTCTCTCTCTCTCTCTCTCTCTCCTCTCTCTCTCTCCTCTCTCCTCTCTCTCTCTCTCTCTCTCTCTCTTTCCTCTCTCTCTCTCTCTCTCTCTTTCCTCTCTCTCTGTCTCCTCTCTCTCTCTCTCTCTCTCTCTCTCTCTCTCTCTCTCTTCTCTTTCTCTCTCTAGCTTGAATAACAGCTATTGACACTATTAGAGCTTGTACTCAAAGGTCAGGCTTCAGGTCAATGCCAGCTCCATTTCTTTAAAACTTGTATCTCCAAAGTTTGTGGTATCCCCAGCAATAGGATCTTACCTTCATGTTTTGGCAGGCAGCCAAGGGCATTGGCCATAGCTCATGTTTGAAATCTTTGTATGTCTCTTTCTCCACATTCTTCTATCATATTGCTACCTTAACTCTCGGTGACCTAGTTTGTTTATTTATGCATCTATCTCCTGTGCTGAAAATAATGCTTTTAGGGTGGAGGAGATGGTTCAGTGAGTAAAAACATTTGCTGCATACACACCCCTGGTGACCTGAGTTTATATCCCCAGAACAAACGTAAAAACATCAGGTGCAGCAGCATGCACTCCTGTGCTGATATGAGAAGCTAAGTCCAGAGAATTGTCCAGAAGCTTGTGGACCAACTAGACTTCAGTATGTAGTACAGCAGCAGAATGAAGAGAAACCATCCCTCAACAGGGCGGGAGTTGAAAACTGACTCCTGGAACTGTCCTCTGATGCATACACCCTGTACACACACACACACACACACACACACACACACACACACACACACTGCATACATGTAATACTAATACTAATACCACTAATAATAATGTTTTGATATAACAAATGTTCAATAATTAGGTTGACTGTGCCAATAAATGAATCAACTTAAGTTCTACTTTAATTTCTGATCTTACTAAATGTACTGTGCCTCATGAATAGGAATGACAGGAGGATTCATGACAGAAGCCAGTATTTATTTCTGCACATCAGCATGCATTGGGAGGTCAGTTTGGGTCGTGTCCACCTCTCAGTTGCTCCTGATGCTCTATGGGCCCATTGTCAAGATATCATGGGGAATGTTTCCTTCTCATGCTGAGTGGACATTTTGTCAGAACGTTCTTGGCACTGTGGCTCCTGATGCCCACAAGGTAGAGAGCCATATGTCCCTACAACAAATGCCGAGAAAAATAGAACAACTCCTAGAATCCCACCACGTCAGAATGTCACATTTTTCTCAGTGTGCCAGGTTCCCACTCTCCCCT